TTCCTCACCAACGCCGAAGAAATTCAAAGTGTCAAGTTCAGCGGGAAAGGTTATGGCGTCTGTTTTCTGGGATGCAGAAGGAATTATTATGGTGGAATATTTGGAAAAGGGGGCCACTATAACAGGCTCTTACTACGCAGGCCAAATAAGAAGATTGCGAGAAGCTATTAAGTCAAAAAGACGCGGTAAACTGCGCGCTGGAGTGCTGTTTCACCAAGACAACGCCCCGGCTCACAAAGCCGCAGTTGCGATGGCTGCCATTGAAGAAACGGGGTTCGAACTGCTCGAACACCCTCCCTATTCGCCAGATCTAGCTCCCAGTGACTTCTACCTCTTTCCTCGGCTCAAAGAACACCTCCGGGGCAACAAATTTGAGGACAATAGTGAAGTGATGGCCGCAGTAGAGGCATTTTGGGAGGGTCAAGACAAAGAATTTTTTTCTAAGGGAATCATGGGCTTATAAAAAAGATACACTAAATGTATTAACTTGCAAGGAGACTATGTTGAAAAATAAAATACTTTTTTTAATCTAATAGTTCTGTTTCATATTGATTATCATTACTTATTGATCACCCCTCGTATCTACTTCTTTTGGTACCTGACTATCTGAATATATGTAATAAATATAGCAAATAATATTACAAGAAAAAATATAAATTTGGATACGGTCTTATGTGATCAAGGTAAATGCGGTATGGAATCGGTCGACTGGCAGAGAATGCCTTAGGCGTTAAGTCCGCCGATGCATGTATTTGTACAAAGAGTTATAAAATAAATAAATTACAAAGAAAATTATTGATCCCTAAGCTATCAACCATTCTGTATCAAAGTTCGACAGTTGCACATGTTTGTAAAGAGAGTACATGACATGTAGTTCTTACTAGATGAAAACCTCTAGTAGGCCTATTAGAGGTTTTCTTCTAGTAAGAACTAGAAATATTGATTCAGAGTTGAACAATAAGTTCTTATATATAATATTGTTGTTATTGATTTAGCCATAAATCAAAGTTTTTATAGATTAAATTACACATTGATCTCCATGATTATTTTACTAAAACCTCACGGTACATTTTGGTAGAACAATAAAAACCATCAATTTTCCTTATACGAATTTAATGACATGTGCGAGACCACCGTGTGATTATACAAAATTCCTAGATTACGTAGAAATTTTTACATTTATTTCGAATAAATAAATGTTTTATTTTGTAGTCTGCTCGTTTGTGGTTAGACAAATATGGTGGCGCTTGATCTGGCGCCAACGACCACAGCTTCATAAATAAACGAGTTATCATATGTCTCAAAGTAGTAATAATAAAGTCGCCAATAAATTTACCTATCGATAATGACTATATTTGTGAACCCTATTAATTGTGACGATAGTGGGTGACTGAGTGATTTGTGTACACTCTATGATGTTATTGTTAGTTTTCATGCCCATTTCTGTAGCTGATTATTTTTTCTGATAAGATTATGATTTTGGATTTTCATTGGCAAGTGATTGGGAGTCGTAACTAATGTAGTAATAGAATTAATGTAATTACATCTAAATCATTATTACCATATAAAATTCATGAATTCGCGTTGTAATTTAATTTAAAAAAAAAGAACTTTTTAATTAAAATAAATCGCTCGTTATTATTTGATGTTACTCTTGGATTAGTTTTTTGGTTAAGCTACAAATGGGAGGCATTGCCTGTCCGTTGTCTGATATATGATCAATTTATAAGAATGGCTTCTTTGGCTCCTTAATCATATCGAGATATAAAACTATTTAGGTCAGAAGATACTACAGCCTTTACCACAATCATCAAGAATAACATCAAAAGGTTTCGTACTTATAAAAAAATATATACTTCCAGAATCTAAGGCACACGATTTAATGTATATTATAATTGTACTATATTTGATGAATTACAATTTAGTCAGGCAGTCAGAACTTAGAAACTTGTTTGGCTTAAAAAGTTACTAATTACATTAATATTTCATGCAGCTATTAAATCGTAAACATTTTCTATCGTCTCATAGAGAGTGAATAATGATGGCCAGCTTTTAAATAGAGCAGGTTGATTTCGACAGGTATTGATGGATCGTTGCGCTTTATCTGATTCCATTAACGCATCTGGTATCAAATGCTACTAATCCGACAATTAATCATTTTATAAAAATAGATATTTATATGAGTTAAATGATTAAGTAATTGCTATGGAATTCTTAGAACAGTTTATAATAGTTAATATTAAAGACTGCTTATACCTTTTTAATTCCGGGCTTAAAAATATGCAATCCCATTTGAAAATTGCCCTTGACCCTGCAGATACCAGTAGTCGGGGAACAGTAGAAAGGAAATCCCTGGTGCCCCGACGTACCTCGGGCCATCTCCGGTGGGTAGACGACCCCGCTGGAACATGGGGGTTCCCACACAGAAGGGCGCGCGCGCTTCGCGCTTGCCGCCATCCCGGCCTGCTTCTGCTAGGGTGACAGATGGCCTCACTTGTCACCCCCAGGCCTACACTTATGGAGGACGGAGGTCGTTCTGCGACCTCCGGCGCCTGAGTTGTCTGCGGTACCTGGCCCGTTCCCGAGCCTGGCGGGCCGGGAGTGTTCCGCTCCGCCATCTCATTCGCAAGTATAACTTGCTCGCAGAAGGAGACGGCAGAGTTCCACGCACTCTCGCTCCGCATGATAGTCGCAATAAGGTTATCGAGCGAGAGAGCTTGCCCTAGTCCCCTGAGATAAACTTCAAGATGAAGGATAATTTCAAGGTCACCAATGGATAGCCTGGGAATATTCCTGTAACTTTAGTGTTTAACGTATTTCCGAAAAATGCATACTATAATTATTCTGATGTTCCGGTACTTTAACACCCAGTACTTAAATATCTAACATATAACACAAGTTGAAATGACTGTTTTTGTATAGGTAATAAAGAAAGCAGGCATTTCGCCTGCAATAGGAAAAAAATGGCCATGAGTATAGTAATGAAATTGAAATTATATATTAATTATATTATATTATCAGTTGGATTATCTTTACGTATAAGATATAGTTAAAAACCTGTTAAAATATAGAAGCATTAGCACCTACGGCAGCAGCAAAAGTTTCGTGAATGTCAGGCAGTTTAACAAGTTTGTAACGTGTTTAGTTCACAAGATCAGACTCCCCGTTACTGAACACCAATCTCAAGCGTTGCACTTTCTCGACTCTGCCTCTATATCATTAACTCGATTAGCAGATGAAATATTATATCAGATAGACATTAATTAAGAATAATATATTAAACTGTCAATTTAAAGTAGGGCGTCCAACATTCGCACGTACACCTTCACTAAAGAAGGTTACGACTTGATAATCTGGTACACAGCGCTCGAGACCCCATGACAAAGTTATTACCATTGTGAAATTTCTCAAACCGTATGAATTGAGACTATTGCTTAAAATTCCATGGGACTATTAACAAAAGAGATGATAAGGATGCGGCTTTAAGATAAAAAAATCTGAATTACTTGGCTCTTCTGTCTGCAAATACTGTATAAATTCTAATTACTAAGTACTTTTTGAAAGGAGTAACAAGAAGACTAAAAAAAAAGTTAAACCGTCAGATCTATATGAACTTTAAATGGGACCATTTCGGTATGACCCTCTTTCGAACAAAAACAGAATTTTGAAAATCCGTCTATATATGACGAAGTAATGCCCGAACCATACATAAAAAAAAAACATCCGAATTGATAACCTCCTCGTTTTTGAGGTCGGTTAAAAATCGGTATAGGTTACATACAGATAACCTAAAACCTCAGTTGGTTAATTTATTTATAATATTGATTTAATGTAACCTAATACAGGCTTACTTTATACAATGATTAAATCGTTTCAACGGGCGTTCAGGCTTGTCCGTAGCATGTGGCCTGTACAACTTTTAAACTAGTTTAGTATTGTGAAACAGCCTATGCTGTCTAGTCTAAGTGGTAAGAATTGAATGTATATTTCAAATAAAGGATAAAGCAAATAATATAAACTAAATTAACCAAACAAACACAACTAAAAAAATATTTTTTCGTTTGTATGATAATATATCTTTTGTCTGTTGCATACAGTTACAACTGCCTAGTGTGTCTTAGTGAAGTTTTAATTGTAAAAATTACCTCTAAGACCTCGGCTGGTCGGCCACGGCCGTGTTTCATTATTTTTACGAAACAGCAGTGAATTAGAGCAGTAATGTGCATGCGACTTGTCCTAGAGGTATTAAAGCACAATATGCTTACGTAATTTATACACCAAGGTATAAAAACAAAGTATATGCTTATAGTATATTGTTATAATATAATGCATTCTGGCTGCTATACAGTTCGCGCGGGCTTGTGAACGGAACGCGGCCTTACTTGTAAGTTAGTTAGTTGTTAAAAGAAGGCAAAGCTAATCATGCTGTATCCGCCTGATCAAAGAAGTATCTCCAGTGTAAATCAGATCGCTGTTAACCCATATTACTAGTCTATTTGTATTTGTCTACTGCGGATATTTCGCCACGACCGACTTAGCTACATCTAAAGCTTGAAAATAGGCATATTTATCTATTGTGAAATTATTACCCTACTCTTTTCTTACTATTTTCTTTGAAACTACTTTGTTGGCTCTACTCAGAACACAATATTATAATTTAATTGATCTACGAGTATATTGTATATTCTGTCGATTTGTGCTATACTAATCTCTGTCAGTCCTTATTTTACTTTCAATGCAAGGGAATGCGGCAAGGTGTGCCGGATATCAAGCAATGAAATAACCATTGCCTAGAGTGCTTTGTACCTACTCTATGTTTATTTCAACTCATTTAATGTCAGTCACCCTTGGAATTTGAATGGGTGACCTATAAATTAAAGAACTTTTTTCAATCATTTTATATTTCGTATAACTTGTAAAGTATGGATTTTGTTAAGAATTTTAGAAATGATTAAACTTGTCTGAAATACAGAGTTTATTGTTTAATTGCTACATAAAATATGTTACTCAACGAGCAAGCTTTTGAAGCAATGTCGTTCACCACTAGTTAGTACAGTGAAAACTGGATACGTAATCGCCATGGAGTTACTGACAGTGGCCTCTAGGGCTGCCTATCATTAATTTATTGACATAGCCTATGAAATCTGTTTTACAGTAAAGGGTTAATCCTTTATTATCGTTATCTTGTAAATATTGTTTCTTTAATATGAGAGTAGTTTATTTGTTCATTATATAGAGAGGAAATGAATAGATAGTTAGGTTGTAGAAGCTACTTTGCAATTAGACAGTAAATTTGTTTATGTAGACCAATCTATACAGTCCTATTTTTCCAGCAAACATAAGCGATATTTCAACTTGACATATGTCAGCTCTGTAAAGGTGGCGTGGGCGCTCGTGCATACGCCATGCGCCGGCGCATGTCGCAAGCCGCTTGCGAAACTGTCTCAATAATACCTCTATGGTCAGCCAGGACCCGCCATTGTGCTCACTTCACAATATCCGCCCTTTTCACGTACAAAAAAAACGATAAAATAACATTTGTCGTTCATATAGGACTATGGTTAATGTTCATTTACCAAGCACTGACAACCTGTAATTATTTTCTAGGTTACTAAGTGTCGGTTTGAAAAAGAACAAAATGCACTTGACATTGGCAGAACCTCTGCGTTGATAGAGTCAATAAACAGCTTTATATAGGTAGATATAAAATAAATTTACCTTAAATTATTCTACTATATAGTACTTTATGGTATGTTCAATCTAAAATAAAATACACACTTGAAACCTAATAGTATTATTAAAAACGCTGAAATGGAATCATTACCTACGTTTCTTATGGGGTACATAAAGTTTACTCAACTCTATAAAATCTAGTCAAGTTAGTAACTCAAAATTTAATACAAATATATTTCCTATACTCTCAATTCGAGAGTTTGTCGTGTATTTGAATGTACTAATCTCATAGGAACGTGATTATGGATATTTAATTGGAGCAGTAGTAGATAGTAATAATATTCATTAGAAATTTAAAGGTTTTAATATACTTTTAATATGTTTTATGCAATCTTTTCGGGAGTTTCTCAACGCACACGGCATGACGCGACACGCCGCAGTCAATCACGCGCATCGAGAAAACGTTCTTATCTGTTATCAATTGATCATGTTCGACATCTGGACCATATTAGCTGTTAGCATATTAGCCTTTGTGTGACCAGAGGTAATTAGCACCAATGTATGTGAACAAGTATATATACTATTCAAATCCATACAGGATTAAATCTGTTTTTCATAATTGCGTTAAGGAAGGTCCTTGTCTTGACTTGTAACAAGTAAAAGTTACGGTGAAAAAAAAAACAAAAAAGTAAACCTATAAATTGTATAACCTGTAACTGCACACATAACTATCGCTAATTGTATAAGTAGCTATTTAATGTGTGATTAAATACAAATTTAATGTAGTTCAGTTCAAGATTGTAATTAAATATATTCTTATTAAGTATAGGAATTTATGTCTGAGAGCAAGCGTTTATAGAGTGTATAAACACATTTTGTTAGAAATAGATTTCTTCAGTAGGTCACTGTACTATTACCATATTATTTTATTACGTTGTGGAAATCTTTATTGCATCAACAGCTATCTTATACATACTTGTTCAAATGCAAGCAAGCGACAAGTTGTATCCGCTTGCTTGTTTCGCTTTCTTTTTACTATTTACAGTTATGAACAAGAACTATAATTAATATAGATTCTATGTTGTACTTGCACTTAACGAGGTATAAGTTAGGAAAGACTTTATTACAGTTTTATAATATTAATTATTTATAGCCCGTGATATGTATAAAACATGATGTCTGGTAGGAGACATCAAGTTTTCTTTTCAAAACACAATTAAATATTCGTTATTTTGTAAAATGAAAATGTGTGATTAAAATTAAATGGGGAAAATTTACGAAAACAATTACTGATTGCTCCACACAACCATGAATTGATTGCAGTTGCATTTTACTAAACATATTCCGTAACCCCCTCGCCGCATACTTGACACAAATCACTTTTTCTATATTTCGTTGTATAAATGTGTTGCACAGACCGCGACCTTCAAATTTAAATACGAGGTTCATTATCGATTACACATACATACATTAGGCTTGCGATTATACGCGTTATTAAGCGAATTATGTCTTGTCAATTACGACCCCGGGTGATTGATCTAACGAAGGATGTTGGGTGAAAATATTTTTTTCATAACTTCTATATTTTAAGTACATATTTATACTAGCTACTTAAATGTCATATTGACCTGTTGGTATTGTGGTTACTGATCTCAACTACTGAGGCCTGAGGCCCTGGATTCGATTTCCACGCCGGACAAATAATTGTGTTTGGTTAGTTACCATAGTGCAGGCACTGTCTAATTTAGGATCCTGCGGTCGTATGTGAAATGATTTATCATGCTTGGGTATAATATTATGTTTCTCTTAATTATTTTTGTTTGTCCACAGAAAACTTGGCACCTTCAGAATTGAAGAAGCTTAGGAATAAACAGAGAAAAGCGAAACGTAAAGCTGAACAAGAGAGTGCGTTACAAGCACAAGTACAGGTAATATTAATTTGTATATAGATTTACGCCCCACACATGTCCTGCCATACAAACTTATGCTGATAGTTATTTTTGATCCCCCTTGTGACTCAAATATTGTGCTATCGGCTATTTTGAATTAAATATTTCTATCAAATTTATCTGTGTTACTCGTATATAAAGGATTGTATATATGTTTCTGTACGGCCACTATGAGTTTTAACATTTTAAATATATGACAAGACTTTTACAGAGCGACCGTCTTTATAGACAGTAAAAAAATCTTACTAAGGATCATCATCATCCTCCGAGCATTTTCCTAAATAGGTTGGGGTCGGCTTTCAGTCTGCGACAAGGCTGAACGTCGATTTTTTACATGGAGCGACTGCTATCAGATCTCCACAACACAAGTACCTACTAGGCGATATCGAAGTTCCGTAGATAGTTGTCGGACTTTTAGAGCTCCAACTACCACAGATGTACTTATTATATACTTACATGTAATAATGGCAACCGAAACCGACGGCTCAATGTGCTCTCCGAGACAAAGGCAGAAAATTACACAGGTATTTTACTAAAGAAACGAGAGAGTAATTCGTATTGAAATATATTTTGCAGGTGAAACGTGAGCAGCATCACAAAGCGCGCCAGCAACAGGAGCAGGGTGATCCTGAAGCGCCGCAGCTAGATGAGCTCATACCAGATAAACTTGCCAGGGTAACTATTAAAGATAGCATATTCCTATGTGTACGTTCTTTATCTAGGGATAAAAGTTATGAAAAATACCTACGCTAACCTTGTAACTTTGAAGGGCGATTATTCTTACATTTAAGTACAGGGCTATCCAACTATGTTCGACTTGCAGTAATTCCTTAAACTTGAACATATACCTATATATATATATATATATATATATATATATATATATATGTATATCAATAAGCAATAACGTATTTATAACCGTAAGATAGTTATTGAAAGTGGAAAAACCTCGTCAGTTTAGGATAAGATACGCGAATATCTACTACTATATGAAAATAATTTTACGAGATTCATACTGAAATTGGTAAAATGAGTTTTATTTTGATTGTGGTGTTTTTGTAACAAAAGCTAAAATTAAAGTGGTTGTGCTAATAGATTGGGTAGTTTTTAACCGACTTAAAAAGAGGTAGAAGATTTTCAGTAAATTTGTGCCACCTTTTTATGTTGTTACCACAGAACTCCCGTCAGTTGTGGCCGGATTTTATAATTTTTTTTATTTGAAAAAAAAACCCCTAAGAAAGATACAGTTTATTACAATTGATCATGATGTAGGCGCATTAAAGTTGGCAATACTTTTTTTAAATGAAACTTTTGTTTTCATAAGTAAAAAACAACAGATTGTTCTTATAGGTAAACAAGTCAACACATAGAATGAACCCTTTCACCTTTTCGCAGACGTTTTCTCATAATTTTTACTTCATTAAATGTACTTCAGCGTATACATATCACAGTTGCGCTATCTTACCGTGATATATACATATTATAATATATTATTCACGACTAATCTCGGTCTAGGCAGTTATGTAGAACTAACACAAGGTCTAGTATTTATACGTTAATTATCTCTAGTTAGTTTGTTAGCTTTAAGTATAAAACATATAAGTACCACGTTAAAATCGAAAAAGCTTATAGCTTATCATAAAAGTAAAAATGCAAAAGAAAACCGCCATCGCCATTTTATACGAATAGGTTTATTCGGCATAATACATGTAGGCTTATTTATTAAAACGCTGATTGACGCTTTAAAACTTTAATTGCTTTTTGGTTAGTTTGTTTTTACTAATTCTATTTAATATTCTTTAGTGGTTTGTGTAACGGACTGCTATTCTAAAGGTCGCGGGTTCGATTCCCGCTCAAGTCAAACATTTGTGTGCATGAACATTTGATGTTTGATTTGGTCTGGGTGTTTCTATGTATGATATGTATGTATTTACAAAAAAAAATGTATATATGTATTTATATCAGTTGTCTAGTACCCATAGTACAAGCTCTGCTTAGTTTGGGACTAGATGGCGTTGTGTGTATGTGGTAGAATATAATTATTATTTTTATTATTTATACGGATTAGTGTTTATGAGTACTTATAAGTATACATGCGTCTATCTACAAAGTATTGCAATTTTTGTATTACAGCCGGCTGCAGATAATTTAAATACAATAAATAAAATGGATAACTGCTGTCCAGCACAGTTAACATTGTAGGCCTCTAAAATATGCGCCTATTAGCCGTCAAATACATGTCTTCTCAGTGTTATTATGCACTATGTCGCTCGTCTGTCATCTGATATACTGCAATCGGCAAATTGTTATGTATGCACTTATCGGCAGCCACGCTATTTAAACATACCTAACCTAGTTATAGAAGCAAAATTATGGGTTGTTTGTAGATTACAGATCGCTTTCATTGCATTCGGTTCAATAAGCAAATCTGGTAGCAAGTTTATAAACATTAGGTAATCAGATACGGTCGCCAACTAATGTAAGATAAACATGTGCACGGTGAATCTATATGCTGAACTACCTTGCATAAGTCTCTACGTACACACGGAAAACCTGGTCAGTATTACGAAGTACATGTAATTTTAATTTTGAGAAATTGAAACTAACATGAACGTAGAATGGTTTTCAAACAATCAAAATCATCAAATGTGTGAGTGAAAGAACGAGTTATTTACAATTCACATACATGTAAAAGAATAACACACGCATGCAAATCTGACCAAGTATTTTGTTTGCCGTGTGTACATTTACTCCAAAAAAATTGCTCTCCAACAAACTGTATATAGTAATAACTTCACACATCTCACACTATGGTAACCAATCTGCTGATAAACATCTTGAATATTTCTAAATACACACATAGCAGTATTATAGATACACCCAGACACAGAATAAACGATCATGGACATCACACATTATTTATCCTGGTTGGGAATCGAACCCACGACCCCCGGCTTAGCAGTCAGGGTGACTAACCACTAGACCTATAGTCCAGTCAACCATAATTTGCTTAAAATGCTCTTTCTACAACAGTTAACGAAATACTACGAAAACTCAAAGAATAAATTATTTTATTCGCATTTTTCGCAAACCTTTTTTTTTGTCTGTGGAAGGAAATAGCTCTGAAAGCAAATTTCAAATAACTTGCATGATTATAGAGTTCAGGGTAGACAACAGTCATTACTTTTGTTGTATTATTGTTTTACAACTTTATTTATAGCTCCTTTGTGACGGTATTAGATAATACCAATAAAGGACTGCGTTAGATACTCAAGTCAAACTTATGGCTAATATATACTTAACATCGAAATGTTGAACTATTTACAGACCATATACTACTAATTATATGTAATTTATTGTTCAATTTAGACCACGTACTCCATGTGCTTTGTCACTGTGTATATTATGTATGCGTGTCATATTAATTCACTTTTTAATTATTATTAAAAATAATGTTTATTATAGTTATTATTTTTATTATTGAGTAAGTACTATTAGAGTCACGAGTGATATGAAACGGTTTATAAGAAAAAGTAGTACCGTTATTATTTATCGTTTGTCATGTACCTTATTCGCGTTTAGACTTCTTGTTATCACATCACCATTTGAAAGTCTTTTAATAATAATTAGTCGTAGAGACAAAGTCTGTGTACTTAAATCGAAACTTGTTATTAAAATTGAAGCATATTATGTATTGATTAGCGTGTTATTTTTGATAGTTATAGGCATAACTGAATGGATATACAGGAACTAAAAACGTAATTAAGTTTTTCTTCCCTGTGACGGTATATCTATTAACGTATAAATTGAAACATTACATTTATTTTGTTTTCATATATCCCAATTCACTTCCTAACTGGAAGTAACAATCAAATTCAACGGATTGATTGATTAGAATGTCACAATTGATTTTGTTTATAGCAATATCAGTAATCAATGCTAGATATACACTACCGGTTCTAACAATAGTAAGTGACAATGACATGTGGTGTTGTACCTATTGTGGTACAGTCACGATGCACGTGTGCTTTGAAAACGTGACAGTGTCGTTACTGGTTATGTCGAATTAATAGTTTAAAATATCATGTTGTATGTTTCTAATGAGCGGTTATAGTAGTATTATGGCAAAACATTGCTTATTTAGTTAAGTAACTTTATGTCTTTGAATGGAAGCGTACTTTGAAAATAACCCTTACATATATTTTAAAATAAAGTCCTCCGGCCGCGTCTGTCTGTCAGTCTGTATGAACGCGATTAACTTAAAAAATAAGGAACGGATTTTTTTATGGTTTTGACTAGAGATGCCACGAATAGTGATTTGGCCGAATACCGAATATTCGGCGAGTCTCTTGGCCGAAGCCGAATATTCGTCACATGAATATTCGGCAACACTTAGTTCCTTTCAACCCAACCTCCCAACCTGAATCAGTAAAATTGTCAGCTAACACAAAACAATATCCTAACCTAAATTTTATTAAGATTTATTTATCCTCCCCTGGAAGCAGTACATACAGTGAGCGGATATTTTTCGAAGCAGGTATCATTTATGAGGAAAAGTGCGATCGTTTCCTATAAACAAATGCTAAAAAAAGGTTTAAGTAGTAATATGATAAGTTATTGGTAAAATAAAAAACTTTGTAAGTAGTATTATTATTAGACTTGCAACGAATAGTATATTCGGCAGTATACCGAATACCGAATATTCGGCGAGGCCCCTGACCGAATAGCCGAATATTAGGCAAAAGTATTCGGCTGGATTTTAGCGCCAAAAACTTGTACAGACGTGAATTAAATTATGTACCTGTTTTATGTACCAATGACTACTTAATAAATGATTATAAAAGAAATGAGAACCTTACCCTTCTAAATTTTGATTACCACAATAATTCAAATACATAGAATTCTCCATTTTTCCTATTCAGAAGATGATTATGTACCTGTGTTATGCACCAATGACTACTTAAATAATTATAACAGAAATGAAAACATGAATATATACGTAATCAATGGATTTTAAGTTTTCATTTTACCAATTATTTCTCAATGACAAAATACATTATTTAAGTATTCGGTATTCGGCCGAATAATATGTAGATATTCGGTATTCGGCCGAATATAATAAAAGCAGCCGAATAGGCCGAATACCGAATAGTAACCGAATATTCGTTGCAAGTCTAATTATTATGCATTCTCTTTTTCGTGATTTACTATTCGGTGTTTGGCCAAATAGTTTTCTCTTAGATAGTGTGATTCCTGAGGAAGGTTTGGGTGTATTATTCATTATGGTTTTATAAATTGACTGAAATGTAACGATTATTGTTGAAGAAGTCGAAAAATTTTTTTGCCTACTGGGAGCTTTGCGTACGCCGCCGCTGATTGCGTCACAATAATTACTTTTATATACAAAATAATATTACTTTATTTTCGAAGTTTACTTCTGTTTAGTATTCATCCTTATCTAAATAAATACGTTCATTAGCTTCGGCGTTTAATGGAGATTAAAATTGTTCTGAACACTATATGAATCAAATAAATATTTTAGAAGATATGATAGATTAAAAGCTTTATGACACCAACAAAATTATTGACTCGGGGAACACGGTTATCGAAATCCACGCGGGCGAAGCTGCGTGCGGAAGCTAGTTTACTAAATAAATTAACTAATAAGATAATGCAGTTATTTTGACGCTTCGTTTGCGTCGAGCAAGTAGATGTTTACTTTAAACTTGGTTTAAAATAGTTTCTCAAGATCGATTAATTAAACCAATGTCTGTAGATATGGACCAAATATGTAACAACGTATGTTTAAAGACAAAAAGTCCCAAACGAATTACAGTTATTAAATCTTTGAAAGCTTGCTTTGAAATTATTTATTTTATTATTATTAATTATTTTCATAGTTATCTTAACTTACACAATTATTAAGGTAGTAGTAGATAGTGAATAATGCATTTATTTTTGTTTTCAGGCAGAAGATCCACTAGAGCAAGCCATCAAGTTCCTTCTACCACTTAGAATACTCGCCGCTGATAGGATAGACACATATTTAATGGCCTTCGAAATTTACTATAGAAAAGGTATATCATTAGATTTTTCTTAAGAACACTAGAAACAGTTTTCAATAAAAGCGTACTGAAATATTATTGTTAATCATAGATGTTTTAAAGTGAAATTTTACATTTACTGTTTAACTGTTACTAACTTGTAACTGTTTTAAAAAGCAGTGAAACAACGTAAGAATAACGTGTAATTTCACTTTCCTGTTCATTGTTATAGATTGAAATAAACCATTAAATCTAAGCACGCGTGCAATAAACATTTAAGTTAATTGATAAATGCGAGCACAATACTTATGAGCCTACAACTTGGGTAATAAGCATTTGTACCGGGACCATACAAAAAGTATTGCGTATATACTTGTGTGCCACTTAACACATTTCGTAATATTGTACCTGATAGAAACTCGTTGATACTACTAAGCTGATCAATAAGCACATGACGCTCTTGCCTACAAAGACCAGAGGGTCATCCTAGTCGCCCCCCATCGATCTCGAAGAGAGAACAGTGAGAAATAAGAAAATATACCATTACATGTTTGACATTTGATCGATCATGTATCGCAGTTACGACTTCACATTTAAAGAGAAAAACATTATAGTCCCCTAGTAGGGATTTCGGCATTGACTCGAATGTGGCAGATTAACATACCAAGAATCCCATTTAACAAAAAGAAAAACTGCCAGATTAGTAAGAAAAAAGATGGTCAGAAATACTCGAGCGTATAAGATTAATGTAAGTTGAGTTTATTATATGCCACAGCGTATATTAAAAAAATCTGACGATTTGTCACAAAGATCCAAAAAAACACCTCGACACTATAGAGCGCAGACAATTTATATGTTTATTTTGAAGCAAACAATGCAAGAATTCTTATTTAAATGTCTACATAATCTTTCGTGCCTTTATTTCACATATTTTAATTGAATAAAAAATCAATAAATTATTTCTAACCAGATTTAGGTATAGTACCCCGCAAAATTATCGTCAGACTTCTAGAGAGCATGACAGGAACATCAAGCTGAACCGTCTGTATAAAATCTAACACGCTGGGGCATTTTGAAATGGCGATTTTTCGAATTTGCCATTTTCATTTTCGAAATCGTCAAACCTTTCAATAGAAACATATTTTAATGTGAAACCGCCGCGGAAAGTGGAAACATTATATAACTTGGATTAATTCTATTACCTAATCTTTCAAATTCAATAGATCCCCATGACGCTCGAGTAAATCCCCATTTAGCATCATGGGCTCCTCTACTATTATGCATCTAAAACTCATTGAAAGTTTATTACTAAAGTCAACCTTCTGATCTGTTACTGCAAAATCTTTTGCTACATCTCTTAAATTATTGTTCCAGACAAACCTTTGCTGATGCTGCAAAGCCTAAAACGCGCATGGCGACTGGACAGCACTCATCATCATTTGCACGACTGTTTAGTGCGGTTTCAAGGGTGGCTTGACAAATCACTCGAAGCACTTAACCCTGCTGTCGTTGCTGTAATTTCTACAGAGACGCAGCCGGTAAGTGCAAATCGATCAATTCGTACCATTGTTTAATTTGAAACTTTGTCAGATAAGCTTGAACTGACAGTGTTGACAAGTGAAATAAATACAATAAATGATTCAAATAACCGAATAAATATTTCACCTATAATTACTACAACCTCTGCGTTATTAAAATGAAATTATATGTAGTTAGAATTTTGTACTGCATGGGTAGAAAACCACTTCACTGTGCATTTTACTTCTTACACTTCTTTGGTTATCAAAGTAAAACTGTTACGGAGGTCAAGTCTTAAAGCCTAGTAAACGTTTACAAAAGTTACTTAGTTCGGACAATTGTGTATTTCTGCTTCGAACACATCCGAACTGTGCCACAGCTCAATTTTGCATAAGTATTCAAGAATTTTCACAACTCTGTCACAACAGTCAATCTGTTAAAGTATTTTTTGAACATGTTTAATATAAAAGAAGGATATTAAAAGCTTTTTGTAACAATCAGGGTTCTCTCAGAAGATTATTACAGAAATTATGTTATAGATAAAATCCCTATTATACATTAAGTATATCACCTCATAGGATGTCAATTGTATCGAGTACGTAATATTAAGCAATGGTTCCTTCCTGTTTCTTATACACTACTATGTACTTATTGTTACTTAACCAGGGCAGAAACTTGATAGTGGCGATAAATTGCTTAACGGTGAAAAAATTACTTAAAAAAACTCACAAATTTATAAGTTCATTTGTAGTGTTAGCCTGTGAAGCGCCTTTTTCTTCCAAGTCGACGGTGAGCCAACCAGATTTTCGTATGATAGGCGTTTTATGGAGCAAGTTTTATATTTTTAATCATATTTTATGATTTTCGTGCCCCTGAATCTGCCGCCCGGGTGCCCCAGTTTGACCCCCAGCCCCCTCTCCCCTAGCTCCAGGGCTGGTTAGAAATACAAGAAGCACAGTCCATCTTTTTTGTTTTTTCACGAAAACAAGGGCTAGATCGAGGCTGCACCGGCGAAATGGATATTGATATCTTTGCTTAATGAACAACTCATTGTGTGTGTAGATGGTGCGTGGGCGGTCAGCCGTGCAGATGGCGGAGGAGTTCATGGCCAACGACGCGGCGCGCTCGCAGGCCGACGCGCTCTGGGGCGCGCGCGCGCTGCGCCGCCTGCTGCCGCAGCGCACGCAGCAGGCGCTGCACCACGCCACCAGGCTCGACTACCCCGACACGTCTATAGAGGTACGAATACTCACTTACGGTTTTATTTACACAGTTTGTAGAGTTGCAGTAATATTAAATGTTTTAAAACTCAGTTATATTAGCCACATCCACCTCAAAACGTCCAAAGATTCAGACACATTAGATCAGACACATTAGGTACAGACAAACCTGTAATCCAGCCTCGGTGTGATAGGCAAAATATTCTCGATTGGCTTCATCGTCACAAATACGTGACGAACGGATATCAACTTTTTGTTTTGCATAAATAATCGTCTTTGTTATGTTGCACCTCAAATTTATTACATGTATCTGACAATAGTTATAATATTAAAAAAGTAAAATAACGACTTTTACACGAGACACCTCAGGTGGTGGTACTTTATATAGTTCTAAAAAAAGTTGACAATGTAATCAGTTTTTGTTTTAATACCAGTATTTCATCGTAAACTAATTTTAACTTTCTACATCAGCAATTGGCTTGAAGCGTAAGAAACGCTGATTTTTATACTACTGATTCCATACATAGATACTGTTGTTTAGGCGTTCACATAGATAAATTTCTACTTAACTATGTAAATAGTAAACAACGTTCAAGAAATACAAAATAATGTATGTTTTTTAATAACAAACATGTCCTTTCTGCAAAACCACTCATGTTTGTTTAGAAATATTAACTTTCACCAGTTGAACCTATACATATGGAATAAGTACTTTTAGAACCAAGCATATAATTCTGATCGCATAATAATATATACTTTATTTCGATTTCAGGGCTGTGTGGAGGTATTAGAGAGTTTGAAAGAAGGCGACTTTGGCCCGTGTGAGAAAGAGATAGAGCAATATATAGAAGCGTGTAGCGTCAAGTTTCCGTACGCCATTGCATTCAAACCGGCGGCCGTGAACACCGACCTCCCCGACAAACAAGAAACTTTGGACGAAGCGCCTCTCCAAGCTAAAGAGATAGCCGTCAACAACTGAACACATTTTATGTTCTACTCTCTCCAAATCGGTCTAAACCCATGTCATTTCAAATTAAATGATACCATCTTGTTTTATGAATATTAAATGGTATCGAATTGATTTTTCACATAAAAGTCAGCAGCCTTGCTGTTCCGCTGAAATAAAGATAAAATTTTAGTTCCAGAAGTTACGCACCAAATGCTTATTTATAGGGTAGGTATATATCTTCGGATTTAAGTTCACACAATTTATGTGACATGGAGAGTATTGTACATAAGTGGAGGACAAAAAATGAGCAATAATTATATAAAGTTTCAATTAGTCATAGGTAGCGATATTGTTTTCAGCGGAATGTCAAAGGTTTACTTAATCTTTTGATGGTATTCCATCAACTTATATTTCAGAGACATGTAACTGTTTTATTCAGGAATATGTACAAAAATGTAAACATGTTTTAATTGTTTATACCCAACTTCACAAATGAAATGTGTTATGCTATTTGACATAGCATGTTCCCTGTTCAAATAGTGATACAATGTTATAGAAACATCGGGTGATTTATATCGACTGAATTCTCCGTAGGATAATTTTAATAAACTCATTTTGTTATTAGCAATAATCTTGTGATTTTATTAAAAAATCTATAGTGAAATATGTCGTAGAATTTAAAACATAGATGGAATTTGTGATATAATCTGACTCAGAAGCTATTTATAACTGAATTTTACTATCCTAATATGTGTGTGTGGAAAAGATTTTGTCTGTAACAATGTTTTCATATCAGCTAACATTATTTATGTTTTTTTTTATTTCGTGTTTCGCTTTTTAGAATTGTTTGACACTACTAAGAATAATACAATATATTAAAAAGTTCCGTGCTCGTTTATCTATTACCCACCAAATAAATGTGACAAACCATATGTGTAACCTCTCTCGATGCATTGTGATTAAAATAAACAATGTTATGTTTGCTCTTCCAAAATGCAATGATCGAATTAAAGAATGAGGTATACACCATTTATATTATTCATCACCTTAAAAATCTCAGTTAGGATTTCTATTTATGTTTGAGGATGATATATTCATTGTACTTACTAAAAGGTTTTTCTTGCTTGTACTATTCGGATGTCCTATTGATAGATCGTTAGTACATAATTAGGCCATGACAATAGCAACATTATGACTCGCGAAAAGTCAGTCCTTTTAGCTACGTACAGTACAACCAATCATACAACAAATCATAAGGTGACGTTGACAGTAATGGCACGAAAGTCTGTCTATCTAGAATCACCAGTTAATAAATAGTTACATTCTTTCCGCCAGTAAATCATCTATCAAGTAGTTTAATATGTTGCCGAGTTTTAATGAAAACGAAAAGATAATAAAAATACATTTTCTCATTTTATTTGAGGATTTCGTTTAAAAAAAATAGTATTTAAATTCTAATGAATATTTACTATTTATTGTACGAGTGGTAAAGTAGTGGTTATAGCCAACGTTGAGGACTATGATGTTTCACAAAATGGCGCATCGGCATCAGTAAGTAGATAAGATTTTAGCCGGGTGGTTGTCTATTGATTCTTGTAGAGATCTATCATTAATATCTATAGAAATCAAATTATTGGTTATACTGTTTGGTATCTCATAAAAAGGAACTAGAGTAGATTTTCAACTTTAGATATTTTGAACAATGCTTCTTGACAAGAAACATACTTTTATGTATTCATTATCATAATGAAGTTTTCTAACCGAATAATAATTATATCTACTCATAATATTACCTACCAAGCAAAAAATAACATTTCGTAATGAAAGAACAATTCATGTTTAAATGCCAAATAAAATTGTATCACATTTTTACTATCGAGAGCGACATGTCAATAATTCGCCATTAGAAGAACGCCAAGAATACTAACCAGTAAAAGTATTATGATTGCAATAAGTTATAAAAACGTTGCTTAATTCTGTTGTCTCACGACTTATCTAGTCGTGTGATCCTCTAGCCGCCATGTTGTAATGGCATGTCACAGCAATTTGTACGATAAAATCTTGTATTATCGTAATTTTTCATAATCTTTCGGTCAATATACTTGTTGTAATCTCTTATTTCGAATTCCCGTGTAATGTTAACATTGTGCGGCCTCAAGTGTTCAACCATATTCATGTAACAAATTATAATTAGCATCTAATGTTACAATATAATGACTGGTTTAAAATATGTGTAGAAACATATGTTGTGTGGCAAAAGTTAGCTATATCGCGACGGCAAAGTGAGCCGACAGTATGCTTGTAAATATTTCTTATTTTTAAGTTTGTATACTACGTCGTTAGTTCGGAGGTCATTGTTGACTTATAAACAGCAAGAGGCGATAGGGTTATAATAAATAAAGTAATACGGAGGGTGAACATGGACTCAAATATAATAACATTTCTATTGGATTTTGTTGCTTTCATTTTTGTAGATATGTGTAAAGTTTGGACAATAATTATTAAATTGAATACTCCAAAATTGTAACGATCGTATGCACGAATATTGTATCCTATAACAGACGTTTGGTTTCTACGCTATATCCACAGTATTAAACCATACCTTTATTTTAATTTTTTGTTTGCTATTAAACCACACAACACGACCTATTTAACGATTTTGTCGATTTGACGAATACGAATGATGTTCGCCTATTTATTTGTTACACCTGTGAGTTTTCAGACTAGTTGAATTCTGTGGATATAGTCAATTGTTTTATTAAAAACAATATTTTTAAGTTGTTGTAAATCACCATGTTGATTTAATTGTATTCAAACTGTGTTATCCGAGTATCTACACCCGTGTCATCTTGTACATAAAGTAATAAAATTTATTTTACAAAATTTGTTTGTAATTATATTTCAAATAACACTAATATTTACAAATGCATGTAAACTTGTCAATACCTCATTCAATACTAAAATTACAGCTTCCCAATCATTATGCTAAAAAATGGTATTCTTAATTTGTCATCATTTATATTTTATATCTTATTACTTCTAGGGGCTCATCATATCACCTTCAATTGTAAAGTCGATTTCAATCTTGTTTTGATTTGTTTTATATTGCCTGAAAAAGGATAATGAAACATTAAGTTCAAGTCGCTGTTAGTTACTAGTTACTAGTCGCTGCACATGCCACATTCCATACGTGCATATCTTATTGTTTCCTTAAAATATTCTGCATTTAATTTATTGATAAAATATTTTTGTGATATTTGAACTGGAGACTCTTTTAACCACTTCTATATGGGTGTTTATGCAATTAATAATGCAGTGGCTTAAATAGATAATATTTTCAATGAATAACTGGTCTGTTGGTCTAGTTGTTAGTGATCCTAACTGCTAAGTCGGGAGGTTGTGGGTTTGATTTCCATCCAGGATAAATAACTTGTGTGACTAGCACAATCATATGTTTTTTGTCTAGGTGTAATTTATCTACATTACCTATGTATTTAGATGTGTTTAAGTATGTTGGCGCATAGTTTGATTTCAGAAGTAAAAAAAATTACATATGCAATTATGAAGTCTAGGCATGGCGATATAATCTATAAGATAAGGTATAATGATGCATAAAAATTCAATTATCAATGCATATTATGATAATGGTAATAAAATAAAATGTTGTTGCACAAAAAATATCTAAATCAAAAGATTAAAAGAAAATACATTACATAGATTGAAAGAAATAAAATTTATATATATGTATGCTTACTCAAGTTCTACTTTGGCTGCGTTTAACATTTTTCTAGAAGCTTTGTATTCATCTTTATATGCTTTCTTGTCTGATAGATAAATAACTTTCTTGATTCCTGACTGTATAACGATCTTAGCACATTCGTTGCATGGAAAGAGACTCACATAGATTGTGCAATTTTTCACAACAGAGTTGCTGTTGACAATGGCATTCATTTCTGCATGGCATACTGAAATAATAAAAGTATTTTACATTATTAATTATGTCAGAGATCTGCTGTTAATGCATGTTCCTAATAATATTATTATTTCTCTTATTCCTTGGTCATACCCCTTATGAGAAAAGATCAATAAAAAGCTCATACAAAGTGAACAGATTTGAGAAAGCTAAGAAGTCTTGTTAAAATAATATCACCCACCAAAATGATGTTTTTTACTTCCCCATGGAAATTCATCATCACTGCAGCCATTAGGCATTCCATTGTACCTGCAATATACATTAAAAGGATTAGGAGAAAAATGTCATGTTAATATTTAATTGCACTTTGCATCTTTATGCTACAGAATTAATAAAGATGAATGATGAATCAATCAAAAACTGACGATGTAATCAAATGTTTGCAAAATTTGGTTGTATTTGGGTGAATTTAGCTTTAGACTACAATGCATGCTAGTATTTTGGGCAAGAAATGATATAGCCCATCCCTAGAGGCTAAAAGCTTAAGATGGATTTGGACAATAAGTAGTCAAATAAGATGATACTTTTGTCAACATGTCTTTGATAGTGCAATGCTTATTTGTGTGCCATTTGCAATTATATGTCAAGAAAATAAAGTTAAAGTAAATCAAAAATAGTACGAAAAAAAAAGTTAGGTACAGAAAATACTGACACCAAAGACACTTCTGATTACGAGTACTACATTTTTGGGTTCTGTAGAGGCATTATCTGTACATTTTTCCTCATGATGGGAATAGGGTATTAGCTATTAAGTTGTGAAATGATTATATTTAGGTATTGGTTATAGCTATTTGTAGCCAGTGCAAAGATTAGAGCAATTTTTAGTAGAACACAACTGAAACTACAGAACTAATATTTTGGAAAAGTTGGCTTATAATCATTATTAAATAGTTGTACTTTACTAATAGTACAAAAGAATATTCTTAAGTGATCTGTCCATAAATACAACAATAGAAATACACACCAAGGAAGCCGGTTGGTACATATAATAAGATAAAAGAATGTAACAATATGATTCCAAGGTTGGGAACTATGTTTATATCTTTCAGTGTCTACATAAGGATTTTTAGAAGTCATGGTAGCTGTTGATGTAAGTAAAAGTACATTAAGGTAACCTTAAATATAGATTAGTCCCCTTAACCCTAAATATTTTAATCAAATTTATAGTCTTAGTAATTAGCAATATAAAATGAATTTAAAATACATGAAAAATAATAAATAACTACAACTACTAATATTATAACCAAAATTCTTACCCAATGCCTACAATTCTTTTCTCATCATTGACAATACATGCCCCAACTTGTCTCTTTGGATCTTTGCTCCGTTTTGCTGCCAAAACTGCTACTGCCATAAAATAATCCTGCCAGCTGATGTAATCCACCCGTTTCGTCTGTGTATTGTCACTGGGAGACGTACATTAACACATTGTATTATTCTAAAGAATTAACAGTAAATAAATCTGCTGGCAATAGGTAGTCACTGAGTTATTATTATATATATATATGAAAATTATACCCATGTACTTACTCTTGAAGTGACATATTGGCTGTGGCTTCTGTAAGACTCATTTCTGAGAGTTACTCGTCTTACTAATAATATTAAATGCTCAATGCTCCACATAAATTTGCGATAGCTTTTATACCATGCTGTGTAGTTGTCTCAAACATCAACAGCTGATTACGAGTTAGTGTTGTACGACACTGACCACAGACAACCAAATACTAGACACTGTCGATAATCTATCGAAAAGTAAATAGTGACGGCGCAGATTTAAACTAAGAAATACGAATAGCAGAGATCATTGTATAGCTTAGATCCTTCTCAATATTTCTTTCACTTTAGATATTATTGATCTCATAGATTATAGATAATGATAGTATAACACTTCAATAGTATCGATAGTATCTGTGAAAGTGAAATACGGTGTTATTACTAGTGATCGGAATTAAGGTGCTATTTGAGACAATATCACTAGTATGGATATGACGATATTGCCGGGATTCCAATAATTATGGTAAGGCTTAAAAATATTTGATATTATTTTAAATGTTTGGAGATCGCGTTAAGGAATACGTTTATTCATTAGTATTAAGCGTTTAGATTTAAACAGTAGACTAAAAAAGAAAAGCTAGGGTTATCCTTAAAAGTGCAACAGAAAATAATTAAAACATTCTAACAAGAAATTAATATTAATTTAATGAATAATAGACCTCGATTAGATAGAATATCTTTATTTTAACAATAGATTAATGTTCCTGGCGATTTTTTTTCGATTTACATCCATAAAATAATCCAATAAGTCTCATTGAAAAATATTTTCCTATGGCTAACCCATGTTAAAAATATTTTTTCTAGCTAAAAACTCCTAAAACAGTTAAAGGCGGCCGGCGGTGCACGTTCTTTACGGATTAGAGACTAGATATTTGCCGTCTCTCTCACACAGTGCGGCACCATTCACCGGTCGGCATTCAAGGGGAAGAAACAGCGGCTATGTGCGCATATTCGTATAGAGAAAACTTTTGCAAGTTTGTTCACATGAAAATGTATATATGGATTTGTATATGTTTACTTGTATTTGACACCTTAATTTTGATAATTCTGTTAAGTAAGTTTTTGCTTATTTTGTGGAAGCAAGCCAAGCAAACTTTGAATTAACTTCAAGTAAGACTGCGTAGATGACAGTAGGGTAATTCCTAGGCTACAAATTCTACCCTAGTCTATGAAAGACTTGTGCTCTATTCAAATTAGTACTTACTGCGTTCACTTACAGCATATTGGATATTTCTTTTTGATTTTAAATGTACATCATTCGACACTTAATTTGGATAAACGGACTATGATTTCAGACTGGACATCTGACAGCGAATTATTGTATGGGTAAGTAAAGTTTTTTTGTGTAAAATTATAAAGAACAAGAAAATATTTACGGCAACGGAGCAATGCGATGGGCTTGGTACATCGTAAATGTTCTTTTTCTAAATCTTTAAGTATTTGTATATTTATTACGGTTCAATATTGAAACTAAATTTTAACTAAAACAGTCTACACACACAACGACCGATTTAGTTGAATGTTAGCTAAATGACGTCATTCCAAATTCAAAATGGCGGAATGCCCAAAATGGTGAACCAGTTATTTTTATGCAATTGCAGCTAGCTAGCTTTTTTTCATATTTTATTTACATTGAAATTTTTAACAAAAAAAAGAAAAATAATAAAAGTTCATGTTTAAATTTTTTTTCTACTTACAAATTTATTTATCTGTTAGTTAGCCCATGATTTACGTGAGGTACAAGGCATCGAATCGAGGATAATTAACCTCCATTCTTTCAGATGTAGGTAGTGTCAACAAGCTCAGATCGTTTTCAAGCTTATTGTTTGGCTACAGCAAGTTATTTGTTACCTATTGTTTTATAGGTATCGCAGACATGACAAATGTGAGGCATGAAACTATCCAGAAGTGGATAGCTGACACAAAACTGACATTTGACCCAATTGACGAATGCATTATTTTGCAAGTGTAACGTCGGCTTTAAACGTGAGAAGCCTATTTTTCAAAAGCACGTCAACAGTAAATAGCATAACGACTCCCTCAAATCTCTGTGGTCCAATCCTTTCGAATTCAAAGTCAAGGTACACAACATTTTAATTTTATGCACAGACAGTGTGTCTCATATAACATGTTGGCTGCTAGTAAGCGATTAAATTCATGTTTTCTTGCTATGAAACATGTGACATATTTGGCTCATGCACTTCACAGGGTATCAGAGCAAGTGAGACTGGAATATCCAGATGTTTACGTACTAATATCAAATGTTAAAAAAGTATTTTTAAAGGCCCCAAATAAGGTCAACTTTCAATTTAAAAACCCTGATTTGCCGCTGCCTCCACAGCTAGTGATTATAAGATTAGGGCACCTGGTTAAAGGCAGCATCATACTACGCCAAACATTTCACTCAAATAAAGGACATGCTTTCCCATTTCAACAGTTCAGAATCCTAAGCAATAAGACATGCAAATAATGTAGTAAATAAAGAAAACTTAGAAGCAAATTTAAACGAAATTTATGCATATTATAAGAATTATAAAATGATCCATACTTAAATTAGAAAAAAGTTGTATAACGATAAGTGAAGCATTTTTTGCTTTCGATAATGTAAAAAAAAAAATTGAATTGGAAAGCATCTGAAAGGATAAATAAAAGAAATTGAGAAAGTTATGGAAAGGAACCCTGACTTAGAAATTATTCGAGATTATTCTGAAAAATTAGAAAAAGGGCTCGAAATAGATGACCATGACAGAAAGTATTACAAAGGACATCATTCAAAATGTACCCAAAAATTAAAGTGCCGGTTAGTCAAAAAAAAACTGTGTCATCTTACGGCAAATGATCTTTTAAACATTTTTTATTATTACAACAAACGTCTACGACCAACTTTTAGACCCAAAATATATCTCCGAAAATCATAAAATGAGCATTTACATTTATGTATCAATTAACTATTTCTGAATAATTAAAAACCTAAACAACGCAAGACCATCGAAATGAGACCTGCGGAATTATAACATATGAATAAAGCCACGTAGGTAACGAAATGAAGTCTTTTTCTTTACATATATTTTATAACACTAATACCTACACATAAATACCTACGTAGGTACTTAGGTACCTAATGATGATTGTATATAATTAGGCTTTTTATCATATTATATTATTATTAAGCGAGATTAAGTTATTCTTTATCATCATTATTTGATTTTTGCTATACTAATGAAGTAAAAATTGTTCGGACGAACTCGTATAAATGCATTTTTTATTATTTCTAAGTCATATAACTCATAAGTAATCGGTCTTAGCTCTTAGCCGTCTAACCGATAAAACCATTTTTTTTCGTTGGCCGGCATTTTTTTTTGGGTACTTTTTGTATGGAGCGTGAATGATGTCCTTTGCACCACTAACGTCTTCAGATGTTGAATAATGTTTTTCAATTTATAAATGGATACTACATGTCAAACGAAACAGACTTAGTCTGTTTCGTTTGACATGTAGTATGTATGTCGCCATGTAGTCGAAAATATAGGAAAAAACGTACGTACGTACGTTAATCTATTTCGATTCCGCTAATCGTAGCCAACCTTCCGATGAACAGTCATTAGATATCTGTAACTAAAGTAGCGGTACGCTACGATGACCATTTTGACGCCTGTCCACTCTTCGAGTTTCGTATTAATTAATAACTAGGTTGAAGGAGCATATTGCTGTACTTTATTGTTTTCGTCAAGTTTCGTATTTAATGAATACCTACATTAAGCTCCGTCAAATTGCTTCATTTTAATGTATCAAAAAAGCCATCATAGCGTGCCGTTACTAAACGTAATTTTAGATATCGCAAAGTTTTTCATTTTGGAAATTTACCTACTATACAATACTTTGTCAAAAGCCAAACCCGATTTCGTACCAAACTAAATTGGTTCTAGGCCAAACCGATTTATCCTACATTTTGCATGTCAAGATCAATGGTCAAGTCAATAAACTGGTTTGGCTTAAACAAACTAGTTTGACCTGATATTGGGTTTGCCCAGCAACATTATATTGTTTTAGATTGTTTATTGTTGGTTTTTGCAAAATTGCTGTTTTTTTTAATAAAAATAAACTTTCGAGAGTACCTATTAAATCGCCATAGTCGTAGAATAGTCTCGGATCTGACCTTTATTGAACTTTACAGGAAAGCCATTTCACATAATTATGTAATTTTTTTGACATAATTTTATTAATTCTAAATTTGTAATTACAAAAATTGGCATACAAGTAAAGAAAAGGGTTTGTTTTAAAATGCAATAAAAATAACAACTAATAATTCTACAATTTCTAGAAAAATCACATGCTTCATTTTACTTTGAGCGCCTATCAAACAAACTCTGAATAATTTAAAATCTTCTTCAAAAATTACATATAATTTTTTCTTGAATGTAATAATAATATTTAGACAATGTAGTATCCAAATATGGTAAAAACTGAAGTTCGTATTTTTTTCAAAACCGACATTATTCTACGATCATGACGAAATTATTGTTTCATTTACTTATTAAAAAAAATCTGACATACCCTATGACCTTATATTTTTGTTACGTGAAGTATGAATTATTTAGAAAAAAGAAACGTTGTATAGAAGCACAAGAATCATGCAGAACTCTAATTTTTGGTCAATGTACCGATTCCCGGGAATTTTTGGTCATATCCATACTTTTGATAGTAATAGCACCCAAAATTCCGATCTATGGTTATTACGCATATTTGAATCAAATTAAACAATTCAGTCAGCTTATAATTGTATTCTTACTGTATGTTTTTACAATCATCATTTGTTATTATAATGCGATACATAAATTATGAAATATTTAAAAATAAGACAAAAATAGTTTTTCCTGCTGGGGCCAATACCATAGACCTATGAAGTTTGAGATTGATTGAGATTTTTGGCGCCATGGCTAAATTGAGAATTCGTATAATTTTCGAATAGGAGTTCAAACGTGGAAATACCGCTGCGCAAGCAAAACGAAACATTAAC